ACTGCCTCAGGGTTATACTTCTCTTGCTTTTGTGTGTCGCCAGTGACCCCTGTGCACTTAAGGATGAAAGTGTGTATTGTGTGTCCTGTTCTGGAGACGGTTCTATTAGAAGTGAGAGCAGCTTAAGTGTGTAGGTGCAAGTTATTTGTTTGTGGCGTGATGAAGCCTTGCTGTACAGTTCAGTTGTGTTGGGAAACAGGTTGCATTTGTGTGTCATACTGACGGAGGCAGTTATAGGTGGGAGCGAGGTGACAAGTGAGTCTGTGCAAGATAATTAATGGAGTGGAGGGACTCCATGGTAACTGAGCGGTGAAGTGGGTTATTGATGTATTTCTCATGAATTGGATATTGGTATAGTGTGAGGCCCACTGTACATTTATAGTGTCATTCAACACCTTTTCTTCAGATAGAGAATGTAGATCTGTAGCTGGACACAAATGCATTCATTTGTTGTTGTTTCCCAGACATTCGCTATGTCTTGTTTATGATCATATTGAATTGAATGGCTTTATAACGTCTGTTTAATAGGAATAATTAACATGTGGTTGGACTTGGCATTGATTGGGAGGTCCGCCTCACTGGGAGAGGTGCATGGTGTGTTGTAGGTTTTCACTTTTCCTATGCACTATATTGGATAACTATTGGTGTGTTGGTTGCCTGGACTCCGTTTGTGCTTATAGGTCTGTTTATCTTCATTCTCAATTTGATGGAGAGCGTGGATCACCGTGAACTAGTTTGCAGTTGAGATGGCTTCTTGCTACGATGCTCCTCTCCTCACTTGGAAAAAGTGAGATGACTGAAGCCTTTTTATAAACAATGTATTCTTCACAAATCAACAGAGGCATCCAGGTGGTAGGTCTCCTGTCAGGCTGTGTAGCTATGGCGTAACCCCTAACTAAATATAAATGAATCTTTATTGTCTGTCTTCACCTAATCAAGCTTGTTCTTCCAGGAAGCTCTGGCTTGTCTTCTGATCTGCGGCCCTCTTTCAGGTCCTGTGCCTCCTGCATGCTCGATCTAGCACCTAATCCTCCACATCAACTTGAGCGACCCAGTACTGCAATCACTTCGAATGTGCTGTGGTCTTCTTCCTCCCTTCTCTCAAGCTTTCTGTTGTGCTGAGCGTTTTCTTCTCTGCCTCTGGTTCTTGAGCTGTCTCCTCCTCTCTGCACCTTCCACCTATATCTTGGTTTGGTCATCTCCATCGGACTTCTTCTTCGCTGGATGTCGTCTCATAAGCTGAAGGACACAAACAAATGGACATATGCACATTTCCAAAGTAATGAGGGACACCAGAAATAACATTCACATCATACTATCTATAATTAATTGGTTTTAGACACTACACTCATGCCTGTGACTGTATCACGTACTATAACCGCGCCTACACGCTTACCTAGGGGGAGAAAAAAGTGAGAAAACTAATCCTTACTCATAAATGTTATTTCACTATAAATGTGATAGCATGTGTACAGACATTAGACATACCAGAACAGACACATCAATAAAAACATTTAAGCAGGTAAAATTTTCAAGCCGGGATTTGGTAATGAAAAGCAGTAAAGTCAACATAGGTTCTGAAGGCTTGGATAACTTACAGAACAGGTCATTTCTCCTCTTACACCCTTCAAGCTGTAACATGAAATAAGATGCTGTTGTCTATACTTCTAATACAACTTTGGCCTACATATCCAAAACATCCTTCCCACACAGTTAAACATATAAAATCTATAGGTATGTTTGCACATATATAACCTTGGACAAAACACAACCTTGTTCAGTGAGGAAAGGTTGATGATATATTTAGAGCTGTGGAGGTTTCTGGTGTAGCGTTTGTCCGTGTGTGATCATTTGGGTGTACCATGAAGAAACCTCTGGGAGGTCAATGATCAAATAAGTCTCATAATGAATGCCACTGATTCATGCTTATTTGTGGACACACACACACACACACACACACACATGCACGCACGCACAACAACACACCACACCACAAGAGGGATTCAGGGGCCAAAGCATTCCCTGGATTCCTAAGGAGCTCAAGGGAGAGCAAAGATAGGTTAGAACATCCAAAGAGAAGAAGTACAAATAGCAGCCCACTTCCTGGTGTGGGCAGAAAACTAAAGATAGTCAGAGAAAATATTGTTGTCTGACATGTTTGTCTCATTATAAATAGCATCTGCTTACTTTCGTTTGAAATTGACCAGTGTAACATAGACATTGAGAGATATTTGTTGTCTAGAACAGGGGTTAAAAACTCAAAATAAATAAACTACATGTGGACTATCCTATATATGTTAATACTGGTGTCCTTATCTTGTGAAATATACCTCATGAAATAAAACAAATCTCCTCATGGTAGCCATTTCCTTGATATGCAGGATGTAATACACAGAGGAATTATAGACACGACTTTTAAAAAACAAGTAATGAGGAACATTGGGACTATTGCATGGAGAGAATGAAAAACAAATGTATCATTAGATGTGTACATGGACCTAAGAAAATTGTTTTACTGTTACTATGTTATCTGTTTTACCATTGTATTGACTGATAAAAGGCAAAAGATTTATTTTTAAAGTTTTGTACAATCCATTATATTATTATACTCATTAATATGCATTTGGTTATTCTTGTGATTTATTAAATAGCTTTACCATCTTGTGCGATTTCACACAAAATGAAAGTGAGCATACTAAAAAATTTAAGATGAGACTTTGTTCAAATGCAGAAGGCTTACAAATATCGTCACTGCTGGTGCTTTGACAGAGAAGTCTATTGCTGTTGTCTGCACAACTGAGGTAATTATGAATATTTGCACGTGTAACTCTTGAGATTTGTATGTTTTTATTTGCCTGTAAAAGAGTATGCGGTCATAATGTGAACATTGTGAGGACAAAGGTCTGTCTACATCCACTTCCCATATGCGGAAAAAATCTGGTTCACAAGGCTAACCACTTTTTATTTTAGGACTAGACTTGGTTTTGGTCTTACTTATTTGGTTAGAATAAGGGTTAGGATTACACATGTAGCAGTTATGGTTAAGTTAGGGTAAGCATCCAGGGTATTTATGTCTGTCAAGTTACACAAACGCATGTGGAGTTTGTGTGTTTACAGATGCTTCATGTTGCACCAGACAACTAACTGATTCAGACAAGCCAGAAAGAGATCTCCCTGTCTTGAGACACATCTTTGTTCTTCCAACCGCTACCATCTGCTTACTTAAAATTCATCAGCTTTTACGAACCCACGTACGCTGAAACACACTCACACACACGGCATCAGCAAATGCTGACATAAGCACACTTGCACAAAGCACTGAGGTATCATCAATACTGACAAAAATATGCACACACATCACATAATGTAGAACACATATTCATACACACACATATCCAAGCTCCCAGTAGCAGCAGTGAGGTCAAACTCAGGGCAATGTGTCTTTAAATGAGCTGTGAGACTAACAGCATGAAGCAGATGTGTGAGACACAGCTGGAATTAGTTGACAGTCACTGTGGTCAAACTCAGATAAACAATGGGAAAGCTGTCACACTCAGCTAACTGAAAACGTAAGAGTGTGTAAGAGTGCATGCTGCATCACTAACAAATAGTCTCTTCTACCATCTGTCTGAACAAAATGTGTACAAATAAGTTGTAAGCAAAATAAAGGATGATGAACAGGTTACAGGTGTTATTGTCTATTTATATCAAAAGTTCAAGATAAAACATGAACTGCCTAAGATGGAGAATCTAGCTGCCTGAAAATCCAACCTGCTACCCATGGATTACTAAATGTAAAAACAGAATCCTACTAACAAGGCCTATACAGGCAACAGATTTGAGCCATTTTAAAATAATCTAGCTAGCTGTACATCATTTTTAAATTGGACATATACTGTACTCTTATTCACACTCTACCTCTATGGATCATTTTCCACAGTCTTCTGGCTAATTGACTAATCTGTTTGCCGAATGTAACACATTAAAGCTGACAACTCTGAAATACGTAATCCCTGTTTTTGAAAAATGTCTTAAATTAAATCAGAATAGAACAGAATATTACATTCAGCTATCCTGCAACAATGCCCACAAAGGATGCCTAAGGGTTACATTTCCTGTGAGAAATGAATAAAGTAACAAAACATGCATGGACACACTAATAAAGATGCACAAGAACACAAAGCAGCCCACATAAAGATATCAATCACATATTTGGACGCTGATTAAAAAGAAGACTTTACCCTCCATTCACCCCAACAAACTTCAGGTTTTTCTTGGCTCCCTTGTTCCCCTGCTTGTCAGCAACACCATTTTTCTTCATAATAGATTTGAGACCTGGTGAAGAGGAGGACAGAGGGAGAGGGAGAGGGAGAGGGAGAGGGAGAAAAAGGAATGAATCAGAAAAGGGAGGGTGGGAAAAATTCATTAGGCCTTTTTGGAATTTGAGTGTGTTTGTGTATTGTCTGTGTGTGTGCACAATTCGAGAAAATTCATATTCTGTATTCTCATACCGAAACGCAGTAGATTGTTTTTCAGTGGCTGAGTAGTTAGGGAGACATGATTTTCATGGTATTAGTCAATGTTGATCCTTGAGCCATTACACTTTGAGCCATTGCTAGATGCATGATTTCACACTCACTTAAATTATACTTGCACCTGCTGTCGATGAGTGCACAAATTCATTGAGGAACTTGTAGACTGGTGACAAATTTAAGAATAAAACTGAATGAATGAGGAGGGAAAGGTCCCCCAGAGGTCACTGAGTGTTATGAAGACAATGGAAATATTAACACATATGTGGTCTCTGCAGTTTGAGCACTTATGGGAGATTTTGGACTGTGATATTTAATCTCCAGTGGAGTTCCCAAGACTTCTTTGTCACTAGCTGTGTAACAGTTACTATAATGACAAGCTCTATACTTCAATAACCTCTATAGAAGCATGTATACCCACCTACAAATGCGCAGCCACTGTTGCCTTTTCTGTCCCTCCAAGAGTCATTTATAACATTTTCACAAATCAAAATAAATGTTTTATCTTTCAAACATTTCTGAAGAAGCTGTGTATTTTTCTGTCCAGCAAACAAAACCAAAAGAACTGAGTCTATAGAAAGGGCTGAGTAAAAGTAATACATCAAACTGATATTGGTAGATCGTAAAACCACAAATGGTTTGCACATGTTGGTTGTATTGTGCAAGTGTATACAGTATGTCTGCCTGCTTGTTTCTGTATGCACGTCTGTGAGTCCAGTGTGTGAATGTATGTGTATTTCTTAAAAAACAGTCTGAGCCTGGATGATATTGAAGAACCTCTGGTTGCAATTACAAGCAAGTATAACTCATCAAATAGTACAGAATCGCTGTGTTGGCAGAGAAAGGGGAAGCTAGGGCCCCATCTGTATACTCCATACAAAGACAAGAATAAAACCAGTGTGAATGAATAGCACTACACTGTCAAGAAAAATGACTTTTCTTAATAAGTGTCTGACAAAACACTGAAGTCATTGAGTATTTAAGGATTATGAAAGTATGTGAGTACATGATGACAATTAGACCAACATTTGTTTGCTATAGGACGCTAAAGAATTTGATTTAAAAAAACTTGATCAAATCATCTCATTACTGTAGTTATTTTGACTCTACAAAATTTAGGACCACCCAAAGTAGTTCCAGGGCAACATACACAGATCAAGATTATAGGCCTTATTGACAACATACAACCTTGACATTGTCAGAGCTACTTATGTTTGTAACTGCCCTATAATTGATTCTGCATGTGCTCCTTTGCTGACTCCCCCTGGCTCTAAGCCCGGTAAGGCTGTCTTAGTTGTGCCTTACAGCAGACATGGTGCAGAAGCACTGTTATGTTTTATGCAAGTACATAAGGATGTGGCTTTGAGCCAAAAACCACCAGCTGAAAAGAACCCACCGACCACCATCTAAGAAGAAGAATGCTTTTAGATCCAGTGTCTCTCAGGAGATAGCAGCGGGGAGAGGGAAGGTTTGGAACATATTTGGCATTTTAATACAACCTCTTGCCATCTTCTAATAAATAAAACAATGGTGTAATTTAACCTTCCCTCACTGTGTCAGAAACACTAATTTCACTCATCCATACAAATCTCTAAATCTCAACTCGAGTCTCTGATGACTAGGATGAGTTAGAGTAGAGCAACAGCAGTGGTTTCTGTTTTAAATATTTGTAGAAGTAAAACATGGATGTAATTTGAGGTGAAAAAAGTCAGGTTAGGAACCTCAGATGTCAAAGATGTAGAATGCAACCACAAACAGTGACAATTTTGAGAGAACACATACTATATATATATCTAGGTACACACACACACACACATACAAAACACATAAAATCACCCTTGTATACTGTACTCCCAACACTGAACTTAAAATGAACTCTGAATATAAAATATGTGTGTGATAGCAAAGTGATCTGTGCTTGAGTGTCCATTTGACTGTAAATAAGTGCTTGTAGTGCACTTCCCTTCCCTGTAGTGTGTTTGTCTTTACTGTGTGAAGCATGAAGTACATATTTTCTTATTTAACACATGTTTTTCCATTCTTGTAAATGAGAGCCAATAGTTACTGCATTTTTGAAACACAGTATATATTGCATGCAGACATGCAAATGTAGTGCCACCAATGATGACCAAAAGCATATTATGATGCACTATTACTTTATTTTACCATTGTTCCAAATGTTACTGTAATTCAAAGCAGCTATAAATATAAAAAGGGCTTGTACATGTATATATTACACCTGGAATTTAAACTACAGAGAAGTAGAGATGTTCAGAAGAAAGATGCTCCAACAACGTAGATTGACAGAAATGAAATAGAAAAGGAAATCTACCAGACTGAGATAACATAACTATGAACTAGAAGGCAAGATAGACATTTCTCTTTCAAACAGACCACTGAAAATAATTGGGAGAGAATTAGAGGGTGGATGTGACAATTATGAACTCCTTAGACTACTGGCAAAGTGACAGATATTACATTTCAGACAAGAGGAAAATTAAATAATTTTTCCTGACTTTTTTCACTTTGCACTCAGTCACAATGACAGTGGTCAGTGTTTTTTTATGTTTGGGTGTATTATGTGTCAACAAACAATCAATTAAGAGACAAAATCATTATGTTGGGATACCATTGATTATACAAATGGCTATGTGGTTAAATTTAGTGTTGAAGTCTGTGTTCTCATGATAGACACAGATTAAGTCCTAAGCATCCTAAAAAGAAGTCAAGCAATACCTTTCATTCCTACAACAATAATCCTTGTGTTGATGTATTACTATTGATAGAAGCACTAAAAGAAATGATTTGACAGCACTTCAGTAGAGTGTTTCTAAATAATAGAATAGGAACAGCATGGTTTCAGGTTGCAGTGAAAATAAACTACAGGCACCAAGAAGCAGACCAGCTTGCTGTAAACACACCACCTTGTTGTCAGTTTGATAGTAATAGTGTGTGTCTTATATCAGCTGTGTGCTGATATGCGTTCTACCTTAACCACTACACAGCTTTATACAAGTGACACCACAGAAATCTGTCAAACCATTCTGGCAATATTTGGCTACTGCGGTAGGCCTTGTTCAAAAGATAGGAGTAGAGATGGGAAATTATTATTCAAGGCTACTGAGATGAGCATGTACACATTAATTATGACTTCTTGGCAGAGATCAGAAGGGATATGTAATTAAGTCGCACTGGAGAACAGGAGTTGTGAAAGAATAATTTCAGTGAATATGTGAGAGGAATTGATTCAGCTCTTTGAGTCTATTACAAGTAGGTAAGCAGGTATATGACTGACAGATGCTCAAATGTGTGTACAGTATAAACCATGGGGTCCTAACTGAACCACAGGCCTACCTTGTTCTTGCTGTTTGCTGGCAGCAGCAGCTTTCTGGCCTGGTGAGTAGAAGGCAGAGAGGACACTGAGGGAGCTGACCAGTTGACTTTGAATAGAGCTCATTTTGGAAGGACCAGGCTTCCCTGCTGGTTTCCCTGTTGTTGCTGCAGGGACTGCTTTCCCCGCTGGCTTGGCTGGCGCTCCTTTGCCTGCCTCTGCTCTTTTCCCTGCCGTCTGTTTCTGTGTGCTAGGGCTCTCCTGCTGGCTGGCCGTCTGTTGAGTTCCAGAGCTGCTCCCCAGCTGTGCCCACTGCTCCCCCAGAAGCCCTGTTAACCGGGTTACGACTTGGCCTAAAGCCGCAGGAGATGTTGGTGACTCACTGGAGCCTCTGCGAGGGGGCTGGGCCTCGCCTGTGTCCCGACGTGAGGCTTGGGCTTCACTTGAACCACGGCGCTGGGCTGTTTCACTGGAACCTCTGCGCAGTGATTGCGTCTCGCCACCATCTTTGTGAAGGGGTTGAGTCTCACTGGAACGTCGACGAGAGCCCTGAGACAGAGGTTGGGTGTCACATGAACCCTGGCGAGTTGCGCGGGCCTGGGCTTCCCCTGATCCACGACTAAGAGGTTTTGATACACCGGATCCCTTCTGTGTTTCTTTCAGCTCTTTCGAGGCCCGACGAGGTGCAGTAGTTTGAGACAGGTCTTGAATTGATTTGGGCCTGGTTTGGACTTCACTAGAGGCTGGAGAGGTCTCAGTCTGAGGTTGTGATTGCGATTGTTATCTGTGGTTCAGACAGCTGTGTTGGGGTTTGAGTCTCGAGCTGAGGTGGACCCTGTACCTGCACCTGGGACTGGGACTGCTGGGCTTGAGTTTCACTGGATCCCAGACGAGGCTGTACAGATGCAGTCTCAAGTTGAGGTGAAGGCTGTGCTTGTTCTGCTGAGGGTTTTCTGCCTCTCTGGGGTCGTACAGGAGCTACTGCTTTCATAGCTGTATTCTCTGCTGTTATTACAACTATGTCAGTTACTACAGTGTCTTTGATTGTTGCACACACAATCTGACCTTCTTCTGTTTGTTTCTTCTCTACAGTCTCCACTGTAATCTGCTGTGTTTCAACAATATCTGTTACTTCACTCTTGGGGGGTATAATTTCTTTTGTTTCTGAGTCAGTCTTGGCCCTGACCATTTCAATCTTAGATTCTGTATGTCCCCTTGCTGCAACAAGTGGACAGGTAAAGTCTTCATCCTGGCTTACAATATCTGAAACTACAGTCTGTTCAACTTTGCTTTCTATAACTGCAACTGAACTCTCTGTGACAACTTTCACAACCAAGCTTTCACTGTCTCCACTATCTCTCTGAATACTTTCATTTGCTTCCTTATCTTCCAGTCTTTCACTGACCACAGTACCTACATCTTCTACTCTTTCACTGTCTGCATTTTCTCTCACTTGACTCTCTGCTTCTGCACCTCTGGCTGGATTGTTATCCTGGCGTCTGTTTATCTCTGTCTCAGTCTGCTGGTCCGTTCTCTGTGCTCGCTCTGTCTCTGTCACCCTGTCCACATAATCCACTCTCTCTGTCTCTGTTCCCTGGTCCACACTGCTGGCCCTCGGTCTTTGTGGATGATCCGTTACTGTCTCTCCCTCTGTTTCTGTGACTTGGTTTACCCTTTCTGCTATGGGTGTCTCGGTCATCTGATCCTGAGTGGCGATCCTCTCAGTTACTGTGCCCCGTTCCATGCTGTTGGCTCTGGGTCTTGGTGGGCTCACAGCAGCTACTTCTGCCTCCATCTCTGTGACCTGTTCATGTGAGTCGACGTTACTAGTGTCTATTTCTTGATCTATACTTCCAGTCCTTGGTTTGGGAATGCACACTTCAATACAGATTCTATCTGTATCTGTTCCCTTATCTATTGTACCAGGTGATTCTGTCTCTGTCTCTTGGTTGGCAAAACCTACTTTCTCTGTCTCTGTCCCTGTGTCAATACTTTCTCTTCTTGGCCTGCTGTGTGTTTCTGTAGTACACACCTCCACTCTGATTCCCTCACTCAGTTGTAGTATTCTCTCCTCTTTTACCTTGTTCTCCTGTAATTGTTCTTTCAAAAGAGTATTAGTTCTATCAAGTTCTTGGCTAGCTTGAGTAAGTTTAGCTTCCAGTATCATTAGCTTATCCTGTAGCTTCTGCGTACTATCTGGGTCGTCAAGTTTTTCTGTTTTTGCTGCATTACCATCCTGAATACTGCTAGGCTCTGCATCTTTTATAGCCACCATAAGTGATGTTAATTCTTGTCCTGCAATGTTCTGTGATAGCTTTTGCACTGCCTGCTGCAGTGGACTCTCTAATGTCTCTTTTTGTTTGTCTGATTTTTCTGACGGTTGTGTTTGTCTTTCAGATTTTGGCTGTGTTTCTCTGTGTGCTGAGGAACTCTTGACAGATTCCTGATTTATTTCCCTCTCTTTTTGTAACACTCTACTTTTCTCTGTCACACCTTGTTTCTCTTTCCCTGTTACCGGCTTTGTTGGCATGTGCTCTGACGCTTCTAAAACTCCAGTGGGTTGAGTCATCAGAGCTAAGTTGAGTCCTTCTGAAGGTCTGTGTCCTTGTGGCTGTGTGTGTGTCCCAGAATCAGAATATGGTACTATAGTAGAGGATGCTGTGGAAGCTTGGGCTTGGGCTTGGGCCTGGGCTTGGGCTTGGGCCTGGGCCTGGGCCTGGGCATGGGCTTGGGCCTGGGCTTGGACTTGGGCTTGGAGCTGAAGCAGTAGCTGCTCCCTTTCCTCTCTCAGTGAGCAGATCTGAGCCTTTAGTTCTGGGATGGTTTTGACCTGCTCTTCCAGCTCTCTGACCCGCTTCAGTGCCACTGTGATCTGCTGGTGAAGCCCTGTCCGATCCTGGGGAACACACCGTCTCTCTGTTATGTCTGGTGAAGCTCGGAACATGTTCTCCGTTGAGCCGCTCTCTGGCGTTCCCACAGTACGGTCTGGACTGCTTGAATCAGAACCTTTCCGCTGCTGTAGGGTGATGGGCATGCTTGATGCTCTGAGCAGGTTCGGCCGACTTTGAATCCCCACATTTTTCTCTTCAACATCCCGAGCCCCAGCTCCTACTTCATCTCTGGGCTTAGATAAAACGTAGCCAGTTCCTTGACCGATTGGCCCCTTGCTGGAAGTTCCTCCTTCACTTGTCCTGAAGTCAAAAAACTGTTGGACCTCTGTCACCCGTGATTTAGGCTTGGGTCCCAGGGTTGATGTCCCTGACCATGTGTTGTCCTTTTCCTTAGGGGGTGGCCTGACTCCATGTCCAGGAAGACTGAAATTTCTGGGCAGAGTGCTGAATTTAGGTGGGCCCTTGACCCTGCGCTGAATGTGGACCCTTTTGATGGTATTGCCTTTTTCAATATCGTCAACATACTTAAGGAAATCCAGGTCCAGGTGGAAGCCATAGGGAGTTTCCACTGAGTAGGGCAGCTGCTTCCTCTGAACACTGCCCTCACTGGCCTTGGTCTGAAAGCCGTTGGCTATAAGGAATTAACATAAAAATAAATCAATTAATCAATGCTTCTCCTACAACTTCAGTTAAAACAATGATAGTAATAATAGCTTAAATTAGTACAATACATTTACATGTGCATTTTGCTCGACAAAATTAACATGATTATTATCAGCATTATTATTCCTTTTCACCCACTTGTACAGGCTGTACTGTGCTGCACACATGGCACTTCATTATGTAAAACCATATCACTTACTGGGAAGTAATTATCATGCAGTGATTGCGCCAAAACAAACTAATCAGCATGCAAAATGCTGCTCATGCTGTGTCAACTTATGAGACAGGGGGCGGTTATCACCTGAAGGAAATAAACCCTTCACTGCTTTTGGTTGTATACAGGAACAAGAAGTTAAATGTTTGACCCTCAGATATTGTTTTGTATAATGGAAAGGAGTCTAATTCTACAATACATGATCATTTACTGTTGTTACACTTCTTTGTGGCACAAAAAGTTAGAAGAAAGAGGATTGTTTGTTTAAATACAGGTTTAGTGACACTCACCACTTTTCTTGTCCATCATGGGAGGCGGAGTTCTCAGTCATCGACTTGTGTTTGCTGCAGTTGGAGCTGGCAGCCTGGATTAAACAGAAATGAGAGAGCTGTATGAGAAACTAGAAAGAAAGAAAATATTATCCATCATCATTGTCCAAACAGTACTGAATTCTATATTCTGCCGTGTCAGATTTTTTCAGGAGAATGACAGATCTGTGAAATCAAATGAAAGAAGGTAAGTGTCTGGTCCTTGTGGGTAAGGTTACAGAAAATGTGCAGGTTGAAATATAAGACGTGTCCTTTGTTGAAATTAGTTGTTTTACAAGATCCACTGTATATTTTCACTGATTCAGTACAGCAACTGAAAGAAGACACTGACTCATACAACACGAGAACAAATATTTGCCTCACTGAGATAAGATATTCAGTAAGTTAGATAAGACCATACTCTAGCCTTGGCTATGTTAAAAAAGAAAAATGGTAGAAAAAATGTTGACATATGTCAAATCTAACATAAGCAAACACAAAAAATGATCCAATATTCATGCAGTAATATTTTAATGGCACAACAAAACCCGAAACATTTCTATAACAAATAGTTGCCTTAGAATTGCTCAGTATACAGCAGTCCACATGGTTATACTGAGGTGAGAATTATAATATAATAGTATAATTATTAGGATTTATTCTTGTGTCAGCTACTTCACTGAAGACAACATTATTATACCAACAAGTTATACCGAGAGACAGAAAATATTAATAGAACAATGAGGGAAAAGGCAGTGCCATTGTGTCCATTAATTTAATTTTATATGTCTCGCTGAACCAGACCTTTAAAAGCCACTTAAAGTCAATACAACCTTAGACAGGCCCGTAGAAGGGAACACTTTCCATTTGGTGCCACTTTGTATTATTTGTTCAAGTTGGAGAAGCCGAGAAACCAGAGCCACTTACCCAGTTTTTACAATGAGCTTACTGAACTAGAGGTAAGTGAGATGGAAAACAATTCATCGAGGGGAGTCAAAACTTTTAAGGGCTTATGTAGCCTAAAGCTTTCTAATAAAATATCCAATACTAATAATAAAACCCAGGCAATTCTCCCAGATTTGAGGGAGCTGCACAGTTCAAATCCATTAAATGAACACTTAAGCCCTTACAGCCAAATATCAACTTTAAGGCTATTTAGCAAATAGGCACACATTATTCATGTAATTTCCATGCAAATTTGTGTTACTGGAGAACATATCTGCAATGTAGGAGACATAGCACACAAGTGCCTGAAGCACTAGTTTAATTCATGCTAGAATTCAAGCTTTTACATGTGAGCCAGTTTCAGAGGTAAAAATGAGTTTTACATTATTTTTAGTAGGTGGTTTACCACAATTTATGCAAATGAAATGAGTCAAATGTGAATTTAAGAGACTGTGTTGCCTAGATACAAGAGAAATATCATAAGACAGTGCTTAACCTGTCTTGAGTTAGTTGAGGGGTACACCTGCTGTGAATGGATGCATGTTGCTTAGCTCTTGTTTTTCTTTTGCCTCTCAACTCAATCGTAATGTTTTGATTAAGTGTGGCCTACAGGTTTTGTTAATGTATGATAAAATAGTAGCCATACAACCAGGCTTGATAAGGTTGATGTGTTAGTAATAAACAACAAGTATTGTGGAAACCCCAGTACCAGTGGGGCCCTGGGTTGCAGGATAGTGCAGATGTTATAACTCATATATATTTTAATGCAAATTGTAATAATAATGCAACAATTTGTGTTTAATGGTGTTTCCTCTGTCATATGTCGTTTCATTTGCTATTTTCATAAAATGTTTACACTCAGAGAAGATAAAGGTCTTGTGGGAATATGGAAACACTGTCTCTAAAGAGGCAGAGTATTCTTTTGAAATGACGGATTTGATGTTTCACACAATGTGGAACACGCACTTCCTCACTTTATCTGTATCTACAAGAAAATTTGTGATGCTAAAAACCAGTTGGACTTTTCTCTGTAGCAGATAATTTTCTAGATCCTAATCAAATTTTCAACTCAGCTTATACCGACTGGTATTTCTAAAAGTCACCCACACTCTATTGCATGTGACAGAGCGACTACTTTAATTGATTATACTAGTAAAATTGCATTAAGACATTCATTGCAGCATATTTAGATATGTCTGTGTGCTTGTACAACACAGTTCTTAGCTGATATACAGTAGTTTGGAGTAAGTGCATAGTCCTGGCCACAGGGTAAGTTGTGTGTTGTGCAGTGCTGAGTAAGGACATATCGCAAGGCAAGCATTACATGAGCTGGCAATGTAATCAATCAAAATGACAGCCAGTCCAACCAGGGAACCAAACAGGAACTATGACAAGCTCTGTTTGGCCCCCGTATCGTCTTCATAGATTGAGCCTTAATAATGAAAAGAATTGGTGACCTGGAGCACAATTGTTGTCTCTGTTACAGATGACCAGATATAAACACACACACACAATTGGAGAGAGACACACATAACATATCAACTGACTGACAGTCTCTGCACAGGATCTGACACCATGTGATTGCTTCCATGGCAACCATTCTTCAATCCACTACTTCTGTGTGTCCCAGGAGTGAGGAGAGCACAGGCATTCCTGACTCCTCCTGATGCTTAGTGTGACTACGATCGGCTCACTGTCCTTAAGGCTTAATTAGCCGAGTTGGGAGCAGAAGAATGCTGCTTGTAATTGCTGAGTGAAGTACAGGCAGACCCCACTGGCAATTATACACAGTGGGTAGGTGACAAAACCTTCCTTAATTAGATCCTTACCAAACGGAGAGACAGAGGTAGAGTGGGACAGAATGGGGGGAAAAAAAGGAGGGAGGAGAGAAGAAAGAATAGAGTGTGGAGAATATATGGGGAAAAGAATAAAAAGCTTGAGTGTGGCAGACAGTATGACAGCAAGAAATGAGGAAGACAGAAGTGACAGAAAAGATGATGCTGTGAAAAAACTGTCACACTAACAATGAGTGACTTGACAGAACTGCAAGGGAATTTCCCTAATGAGAGCGAGTCTACCCGACCTCCCTTACAGTGCGGTTGTGAAGGTTTTTTTTTTAAGTTTCGTCTTTTAATTAAAGTCACTTTTAATCCTTGTGTGGCTAATGAAGGCCTCAGAGCATAATCATGTTGTATGGATGAAAACCATAAATCATGAATCATCATATCAGTCTTTAAATATCCCCTGGGAATTCAGTGTGTATACACAGGCTGTGTAATAACTAGTAAGTAGATTATCCAGGTTTGGTTAGTGATTAAGTATTGGATGCCACTGATGACACTGATGATGCACGATCCACACTGGATTACAGTTATATTGACTATGAGCTGAAAGCTCATAAAGGCTATGCTAATCCAAATTGATAGTATTTGCTACAAGCTACACAAAGCTAAAAGGATGCCACGGGTATGTGTGTCCAAAACTGCGCTTGCGTGTGTCGAACCACCAATTTAGTCACTCTCTTTGTCAGTGTTTATTTATGTGCGTGTGCTTATATTGCTTACACTGGTCTGGTTGAGTCACTGTGTTTGAACAAAAAACACACTCCAAGTCTAACACATGCACATAACCCCTTAAAGGACATGCAGCAATCTCTCAACGCCAATCCAATAAGCGTGACAGCTGGTCGAGAGGCGACGACATCGGTAATGTGAAGCCCGGAAGACAGGAGTAATGAGAGTACAGTAAATAAGCTCATACTGACAGCCAGGGGTTTTCATATGTCATCAGCGTGGAAACTTCAACCACAGTAATATTTTGAGGGTATTTTGGAAGCAAGACCCAGGGAATCAACTAAATATTCAATTTTGTATTGTAAAATGACAAAACATATAGTAGTCAATAGGAAAAACTGCTATTTGCAACACAGCATGTGATGATAAATTATTTTTTTTAAAAGCTTACACTGACTGCCAAGCTTTTCAGATTATACATACAGTACACCCACTCATACACCAGACAAACACACATACACTGAAAATTACTGCTGACCCAACCTACCAAGAAGGGGGAAAACCGTTAATTGAATGTCATGGGTCATTACATTGGAGTGCCTGTGTACAGGAGATTGAATTAGTCTGATATACTGACACAGAGCAGGCTTAGATAGAAGACAGGCCAACAGGAAATAAGACTGGAGAGCGCAAGCAGGGGACACGAGGTGGGCGGCTGGGAGAGAGAAAGTGGGTGAGAAAGTGAAAAAAAGGCAGAGATGGGAGTGGCAGCTGTTCTTACCCATATCTCAGACACACAGAGCAGCTTTACCGTTACATTTCCCTCTCTTCCATCGCTCCTGTAATTTTCTGTATTGCAAAAAAAAAAACTACATATGAATGTACTACGATCTCTTGTGCAGACACGCTCTGAAGTACAGTGCACTGGCGGGTTTAAACATGACTGTTCATCAGAACTGTGAAAGAAGCAGCAGTGGAGAGAGAAACAGTCAGGGCAGCAACAATAACACAGGTCCCAAGTCCTTATCACAGCCCTGACATGGGACCAGCTATCTCTGTTTACCCTTGTACTACCCTGAGAATGAAGCCAGGGCTGTCCAGCTTAATACGCCGACTCTCAGCCCGAGATAGACGAAAACAGATTCAAGTAAGAGCACATGTGCAGATGAACACAGGAGCACAGATAAAGACATACTGTACATATGCAAAGTACTCAATACTTCGGTTCCTCCTGCAGCACAATCTTACAGCAGTGCAATTTAACAAAGCAGCAAAAGGTGCTATCTCATGAGACACCACAGCCAATGATTACTTTGCAACCTAATTTGGGTGTTTAAATTTTAAAATGTCTTCAAGTGGCTTTAAATGTTAATAGTGTGCCTTTAAAGTTACTGGATTAAAAAAATCCAGCAGTTTTACAGGACTTTTTAACTTTAGCCACTACACTTTTTTTTTTTTTCGTTTCAGGATTTAAATGCTTTCACTAAGCAGCTTTGCCTCATTCAAATTAGAAGCGTTATTGTTGAAAGCAAATCAGGACCACAACTGTGATCGTCCTGCTTGTATAAAGCCTCTGGCTTCACAGTGCTACAGTGAAG